CTAATAAGGGTTAGTAGTTTGGGGTAGAAAATATATTTCGCTAATAATTGGAAAAAATAAAAAATAATAATAATAATTGATGAATACTAAAAAAACGCTACTAAAAAAACATTCTGCGATAATTTCATTTTCCACGAGTATTTCGCTGACAATCTCCTGTTCGTCCATTTCAAATATTATACACTTTTTTTATAAAAATCTGTTCGTTGGGACCACGGTTTATACACTTTTCTGACATGCACTAAGTTGACATGACATTGCACTGAATTACACTTCATTGCACTATGACGTCATACGAGTGCCATGTCGTGCAGAGTAGTGCAGTCCCAACGAACAAAGCTATTAACACACCTTTTGAGTCATTTCCTACCGATTAAAAAAAAAATCATCGATTTTTAAGAGGGACAGGTATTCTTTAATTATTCCCAAAATTTTTATTAAAAACAAATTTTTTTAGGCCAAAACATGTAAGTTTTGCGAGATCTCACACATTAACTTCATTCGACGACGCCGTAGTTTCATTAAGTTCATCATCATCGAGGATATCATCAAAAATGTCTCGGAGCCAAGAGAGATTAATCGACATTCGAAAGCCGATTATCCCAATTCCCATAACCCGCCAACCCGAACCAACCGAAAATCTCCTAGTTTTAGAGAAATTAAAAAAAATGCCAATGAAAACCCAAGCGACACAAACAGAAGCGTGTTTAGGACGAAGAATCCTCCCCGCGAATCAACTCCATCTAAGCCCAAGAACGATTCATCGCGTCAAAATGGTTTCTCAAGGAGCCCAAACCAACGGGATTTTAATCAACGGAAGGAAATTAATGAAATCGTATTCGGAAGCGACAAGATTTGGAGTTCCATCTTATTCGGATCGATCCCCCGATCAAATCGAACACGAACCTTTACAAAGAACTCAATCGGATGAGCCCCCCAGGTCGCCGTTTATGGTGGTGTCACCCCCAACGTTGCCGGAGAAAGAAAAGGTTGAAAGCGACTCTTCCTCAACTAAATCCGAACGCGACTCGGAGGAATCAGAATCAAAATGCCAAAAAGAAATTTTTATCGATTTCAAACCGGTTAGTTTTCAAACAAAAAAGCCGCTGGTTAAAACAGCGAGTGATGGGGAGATTTTGTTGGATCAAAGGAAAGCGCAAAGAGCCGAAGATGGGATTATTCCCGATAAACAGATTACCTCAATTAGTCATGAGGATATCACGGTTGAGGAGGAACCAAGAAATTTTTTGCCGTACTTTAAAAATCAACCGATTAGACACGAAGGGATTTTTAAAGATTTAGGCGAACACGTTTTTAGCTCGATCGATGAAAGCATTGAGGGGAATTCTTTGCTCCCCCAAGATTCCGTGGATGAAGAATTCCACGAAAATTTCATTTACAACCGGATGTATATTAGAAACGGATCAAGCAGTGATCACGAACAACATATTCCCCCTAGGATCTCCGAGGAAGCTTCCCCAGCCGATGAGGGAATAGTCCCATCATTATCCTTTAAAAAAATATCTCCTTTTGCATCAACAGATTCTTTAGCTAACGATATCCGGGATCATTCCGATGGGATTTGGAACGAATCCCAAGCTACCGTTCTTCAAGCTGACTCCGGAACAGAAAATGGAACGGCTTTAAGTAGTTCTGAAATGACCTCATTAACGGCGACCTCACCCGGAATTAGTGGAGTTTCTACTTTGTTGACGCCGTCTTCAAGGAGGAAACACCTTTTATTGTTGCAACACCAACAAAGATCTTCGATGGACACCGAAGTCTTGGATGAAGAAGACCCGGTTAAATTAGAAGTACCAATTGTACAAACGCACGTGCAAGAAGGAAAACATCAACAATTCTTGGTTCCTAGAAGGGCGAAATCGCCCGTTTGGAAGAGGAGGGAACTCGAACCCGAGTCTCCTCTCCCAGCCGTTGTTCCTGATTTACTTTTAGCTCGAACTGATTCCGGAAAAACAAACACCGACGTTTCGGAAAGCACCACAACAACCGATGATTATATCACTGCCACATCCGGTACCGATAGTTCTAGGAAAAGTAATTCAATCAAAGTAAAAATATAAACATTAAATTAATCAAATAAATAAATTTATTTTGTTGTATTTTTAGGGTAACTCACAAAAACAACGCCAACACAAAAGCCAAGAGGGAAGTTCTTTCGAAAGCGGCTCCTCAATGTACTCAAAAACCGATTACCTCCTTGAAGATATGGTGGTCCCTTCGTATTCTCCACCCCCCATAATCGAAGAAAATTTAGAAATCACCACAACACCCATCCCGGAAGTGCACGCATCCGGGCGATCTTCCCCCAGCGGAAGTAGCTCCTCATCCGGGAGTTACAGCTTAAACGGATCGTGTCCAGATTTACCTAAAAAACGAGTTGTGCCTTCCACGAAGAATTTATCTGTATCGGAAGATGATAGGAGCCTCCATTATTCTTCTTCGGGTTATTACGAATCGCCTTTAGAAGATGAGTACGTATTCCTAACAATCACTTAATTAAAATAAATTAATTAATACATAGATCTAGAACTAAAAACATTCAAGGTTAATGTTTTTATTCTATATTTTTGGTTTTTTGAGATAAATGCATCAAATATGTCAAATCAATTTTGACATATTTGTAATCTTCATTAAAAATCCTTTAAAATGAGTACAAACACGACATATTTATCTTCAATATTAATGTAGTTATGATCAACTTCCGGTTAGGAATGTCAACGTCAATTTTGACATATTTGTAATCGTCGTGAAAAAATCCTCTAAAATCAGCCCAAACATGATATGTACTTTTAATTCTAATTTTACTCGAGATATAAGCAACTCCCGGTTTGTAATGTCAATGTCACTTTGACATATTCTTAATTTTTATAACATGTTTTAAAATTTGTCACAAAAACAAAAATATAATTAAAAAAAAATCAAAAATTAAGGTTGGTATTAATATTTAAAACTAAAATTGCTAACTTCGTGTTTAATGTTTTTATTGAAACTTTTTTGTTTTTTGAGATAAGTGCGTCATGTTTGGACTCATTTTAAAGGTTTTTTAATAAAGAATATGCCATGTAAGAATACCATGAAGTTGTCCATTTGTCTATTATATGATCAAGTTTAAAATGTCAACCTCGATTTTGACATATTTATAATCTTCATTAAAAATCCTTTAAAATGAGTACAAACACGACATATTTATCTTCAATATTAATGTAGTTATGGTCAACTTCCGGTTAAGAATGTCAACGTCAATTTTGACATATTTGTAATCGTCGTGAAAAATCCTTTAAAATGAGTCCAAACATGA